GATTGTATTTGAGTCAATGAGTCAATGCAATCAACTGGTTTTCCTTAGATAGAAAACTTTGTATCAATTTGACTGTATGATCTGGTTTAATTGTAAAGTGCCTTGAGATGACTTGTGTTGTGAATTTGGCGCTATAGAAATAAACTGAATTGAATTGAGTTTAACCTTCCCAGTCAAACGCCAGCTGAATGGCAGCCCATTTCCCTGCAACTCCCAGCAAAATCCCCTCCAACTTCCAGCCACTAGAGTGACCCCCCTCTTTCATATTTCTTTTCTGACTCCACCCTTTCACTGAATTACAGGGCGTGACCATGAGATGATGCTTCTCTTTAGATTTTAATGTCCACAAATCATGACAAAGAGTATTTTAGTACAAAGATTGATGTTAAATAAGGATTGAAGGGGGCCAGCCAGGAGCCCATCAAGGAAAGTGGGGAAATCTTGAATGGCTATATAAGCAAGGAACTAGAGATTTGTACCGGGTGTAAACAAAAAACAAATAAAAAAAAAAAATCCACTTATTTCTATAATGTATATTTAACATATAGCCTATTTTAGATACATTTTATTGAGCATTTGGAAGGAAGTCTCTTGTTTGTGGGCCTTACCTGCTACTTTGCATTGCGCTGGAAGATCACATTTAAGTCATTATCAACGGAGAAACACTGCAACAAAATAACTTCATGAATTACCCATATGTGCTTTATAAGCTTGAAAAATTAAAGAATAAAAAAAACAGAACAAGAGTGTCTGAAGTGTTGCATATGGTTCATTCAACTGAATCAATTTAGGAAATAAAACCTATCAGCAGGGGGGGATTTACCATTAGGCAATAATAGGCAGTTGCCTAGGGCCCCAAGTTCCTGGGGGCCCCATAAAACTCTGTTTCCATGTATTGTTAATACAACTATTCCTTATTTGTGCACATTAATTATGTTTTTGATAAAAATCCTTTGGCTAAAATGCCATCAGAACGCTGATAAATAGAGAGGCACAGTGACTGAAGTTGGTTAAGCAGCTGTACAAAAACCTCAAGGATCCCAAGACTGCA